TTCCAGTGAACATGTGTGTAGTGTACACTTCGTCAAGTTACATCTACTAACTTCTGTTGGCTGTCGCACTGTTCACCTGAGGTTATGGCTCCAACTACCTCGGGTCACAGAGTTGGTCAGGACAGGAATTCTTTTCAATTGATTTTGCTGCCCTTATCCTCTGGAAAACATTTCCAGGCCTTGAGGGTCAACGGACCAAGAACCATTTCTCGCATTGCACTTGGTCCCACCCAGAGGTGGCACGGAGTCACTGCACAACGGTTCTCTCCGATACCATTTGGAAAACACTCTCCGATCCCGCGGTAAGAGCGAAGTTTCCTGAACATAATCTGTCCACGGGACTTTGAGAATGGAGACTGCAGTTCATGGATTGCGCCATCGACCTACGAACGGACACGAACGTGGATATAACAATACAACACTCACCTCCAGAGACCAAAGGGCTAAATTTAGGAACTCATTGAAGTGTCTGCCTCGGAGTCATACTACTCGTGACATTTGCAAGTAGTTTTGGAACAGAAAGTGACCGGCCAGGGATCGGATGACAGCTGCCTCAGCACACACCCAAAGTCTGGATTTCCTTAATCTTTTTAGCTCTTCTATCATTTGTACTTCATCAATGCGCCCATTTTTGGGCAGTGACTCAACAAACTTGAGTGAGATGCAGGGATTTTGAGAAGCCAGAATGCTGTATAAACTTGAAACTATTCAGCACCTATGCGGTAGAAATGACTGAAAAACCATCTCCTATTGCACAAAGAAGCGAAATCACAGAGCGTGATGAAGTCGACGATTGCAACGACGGGCCGCGCTCTCAATGGCGCTCATGCATCCAAGCTGTTGTCTTCAATGCACAGCTCCTCTCCCGATCTCCTCAATGAAAAGTCCACCAACCCCCTAGTTACGCATCAATTATATCAGGCACCGCTTCCAATGCGTAGCTATCTACCCCACATTCCCAAATCATCAGAGAACGAAACTGTGGCGACCATAACCACAATACGGCAAGTACGCAGTTTTTGCAGCTGATGATGACGACGGGTAGGACACTGCTCGAACTGGACGGCCTACTTCTCTGATTATCCAGGATATAACGTCGCATTAGAGAGACTTCCGTAGTAAGCATTTACAACCTCCGAACAGCGACCCATACCTGAGTTGTTTAAACAAGGAATTAACACCCAAAGTATTGTAACCGTCAGAGATAAGGGTTCAAGTCCGGCACATAAAACTGAATGACCTGCTGAATATCTGACTAGGTGGAAATCTCAAACGACGGTGCAGTCTTCGGCTGTTTACCACGGAGCTCAGTTACATCGATTCACTGATGGGTCCAGCAAGCAAGATACTTCCACTGCTGTTTACCAGCTCAGTTACATCGATTCACTGATGGGTCCAGCAAGCAAGATACTTCCACTCACCGAAACAGTTTGGGTTCCACATCCATCCAAAGTGGAGGAGATCGTAATGCATCGCAGTCTACTGACTAGTACGG